TCTAAACTGTTTTAAAATCCCTTCTTTCATAGCTATGGAAAGCAGGGCTTGAATGTCTAGATCAATTTGCTTTTCTGTTATTAGTATTTTCGTTGGAGGGCCTGCCAGAAGACTTGTCCCTTTGGGCCATCTGAGAGGTGACTTTTCTCATGTGAGGGTTTATGTACTTAGTCTTACAACTTGGTGATTTATAATTGCAATCAGCACACTTGAAGCTCATTATCTGTCAGATAAGCGTCTGGTCATTTGATCTCCTGCATTGGTCCCTTGGTTACTTTGCCTCTCTTCTTCTGATGAGGTGGTTATTGATAGCCTTCAAGGCTTTAATTATTTAATCATTGTGGTGAACATAAAAAGTTCCCCAATAGGACAGCCTTTCATTATAACATCCTCTTCTCCTTTACTCTTCTCAGCAGTCCTTTTCTTTCCCAGTTGAGACATCTTTGAACTGCCAGATATCTCAAGGAGGACATAGACTGTAGCCAGGGTCCTAAAACCTCAAAAATTTGAGAATCCCATCTTTTCTCTGTCTCTTCCTGACCTACAGAGAGTTATTGTTGCAACGTTTAGCAAAGAAAAATAAACAAACAATAAATTTTTAATATAAGTATGCCCCATGCAAAATTTGGAACATACTTATACTAACCAGCTATTTGTTGCTTATCTGACATTCAAATTTAATTGGACATCCTATATTTTATTTGGCAACACTGCAGAGAGTGCATACCCTAAGGCTTTCCTAAGTCCATCTAATGTTTTGGGGTCTAAATTCCTTTAATATTTGATCCTAATTTAAACCTTGAATGGAATGTTTGTAACAACTAAGACCTCAGTTTTATTCAGCATTTGCATGAAGTGTAGTGGATGTTGCACTGCCCACCTACACACAACTCCCTTTTGTTATGAGAATATACAAATAGAAATAAGACTTTGCTGGAGAAACCTAAGCTAGATAATTCTCTCTTTTGTAAGTTTTTATTAAATATTTCAAAGATACACATAAGCAAAGACAGTAATATAATGCATTGCACACAATTTATTTACACCCTATTCAGTTTTCTTCTTTTTGTTTGGTTGGTTGGGTAGGTAAATGTGAGTGTGTATACTGCCAGCCTCTAAGTCAGTGGTTTTGAACCTTGGCTGTGCATTTGAATCACTTGGAGAGCTTTTAAACTCTCAATCCCTGCCTGCCTCCCAGACCAATTAAATCAGAATCCCTGGCAGTAGAGTCAGGTGATTCCAGTGTGCAGCCAGGGCTGAGAACCAGTGCCCTGAATGAAAATGGCAAATGCAAAGAAACATTTTTTACTGGTAAATCATGTCCTTATATTTCATATTCCTCTTCAAAACTTATTTCGTGGATTTTTCAGTAAGCATATTACATTGTAGCATATTATATGTATTGTATTATAGCATAGCATATGTTATTTTATAAAGTTTACTTTAAAAAAAACTCATCTGGCTTTAATCATGTCACTGATTCATTATTAATTTTGGAAAAGCCTATAATTGGTTTTTGTTTTCAGATATTTCTTTGTGATTTTCCTATGTCTTTTTCATATGTATTTCTCTCTCTTAGGTTATAAAACAGTGGTTTTTTTCACTTTATCTGCTCATTAGAATCATCTTAGGATGCTCTAAAAAACGATGCTTGGGCCACACCTCCCAGAGGCCCTGCTCGGAGGCTCTGTGCTAATTGGTCTGGTGTAGAGCCCAGGCATTGCTGTTTCTCAAAAGCACCTGAGGAGATTCCGTGTTTAGGCAGAGTTGAAAGCCAGTATTTCTAAATATGTTAAATTCCTACCTAGCTGATCATCTGAATCTTGCTGGAGAAATTTAAAACTTACATATAATTGCCCTGCTTAATGAGGTAGAAATTATTTCCAGGTTTTGTGAGGGGGAGAAATGAGAAGATGATAAATGGCCTTCCGAGTAATAGGTGTAAATGAGGAATTCCTGTTGGGGGTGGCCAAAGGACTTCTGAGAATAAAGAGAAGGATCTCTAATATGTTAGAAATATTTTATTTCTTCTGCTACATTTCAGCCTAACCTATTATGTGACTCTGAAAACTTCAAAGAAGGTTGCCACTCAGGTACAGGGATGTGTGCTCACACCTACTCAGAGTAAGTGCCCACTGTCCGGGCCCCACCTATGGGACCCTAATTCAGGAGGTTCAGAGTGGGGCCAGACACCAGTCCTTTAAAACCTTCCCCAGGTGGTGAGAGGGCAGTTTTGGTCACTACTGCCTTCTACGATAACACATCCCTAGACGTGGTCATCACAATTCATCCCATCGACAACTGGGCAAATTCATGTGGAGTAACAGTAAAATCAGTGGTAAAAGTAGGTTTTTGCAACAGGGATTCTTATTAAACCTCCCTCAGATCTACCTGGTCTTTTTCTCTTTGAGTGGCTATATCAAGAAAGAAGTTATCTTTCTAAAGTAGGACAGAAGACAACCAAGGAGGAGGTGTCCAGAAGCATAAATAATTAAATTAAAATGTCAGAGCAGACTTAATCCTCTGTAATATGAAGTAACAGAGAGGAGGCGTGGCATACACTATCGACAACATGATGCACCAGTCCAAAGACTGTGTACATTCATCAGTAAGACAAGGACTGAACTGGGTCCTGGGAATTCAGGGTATGGTATTGCCTCAAGGAATTTGCAATCTAGAAGAGGAGACCAATAATTATACAGTGGGAAGAAACAGAAAATTATATGAAGCAGCGAGTATAGACCGACATCACGGGGGATTACAGGTGAGAGGGGACTCAGGAAAGCAAAGGACAAAACCTGGCTTTTGAAAGATACAGTGATTAGGGTGAGGAGAAAGTGGAAGGAGAGTGAGGGGAAAGAAACAATTTCTTGTCAGAGTGAATGGAACTCTGGGCATGGGCACAGAGGCTTAAAGCAGCATGGGAGGTTGCCTGAATTGCATATGGTTCTATGATGCTGTTGCGTGATGTTCTGGAGGAGTTGGGGGCAGGGGGAAGGCAGAGTGGTGGTGTTGCTGTGTTTCAGACCCCACCCGCATACCTCAGCCCAGTCATTTTTGAATATTATGATGAGTTCCTGGAATAATAAAGAAAAAGTTAGATGAAAAGCCAACCAGCCTTGCTAACTGTAAAACAAAAGATGTACAATCTTACTTTGTCAGATTCTACTGCAGAATCCTCTTTCTCCAGGCTTATCTTTTCATATCATCCGTCCTGATACTTAGTTGCATTTGCTGCTAGAATTCCCTTTTATTCTAGACTTTTTAATTTTCAGCCTCCTTAGACTTAGGTATTTATTTTGCGTGATGTTTCCTGGTTGAAAACATGAACGTAATTTCAATTTGAATGTTAAGATTTCACCATAAGGGAATTGGATTGACCAGCATCAATAATCCCCTGCCTTCACTCAGTCACCACACAGGCACCTAACCATTAACCCATGCTAACCCCCAACTCCTCTGCCCTTAGCTTCCTTCAGTTAGGACTGATGGCTTTAGTTGTTGTTGTGCGCTTAATTTTTATTATAAAATATATCATTCAGGGCTTCCCTGGTGGCGCACTGGTTGAGAGTCTGCCTGCCGACGCAGGGGACATGGGTTCGTGCCCCGGTCCGGGAAGATCCCACATGCCGTGGAGCAGCTGGGCCCGTGAGCCATGGCCACTGGGCCTGCGTGTCCGGAGCCTGTGCTCTGCAACGGGAGAGGCCACAACAGTGAGGCCCGCGTACTGCAAAAATAAATAAATAAATAAATAAATAATAAAAATAAAATATATCATTCAAATTTACAGACAGAGTCGTGTATTAAACACCAGTGTACTTACCACATGACTTAGTCAAATCTTAACATTTTGCTCTTTTTGTGCCAGTTCTTTTTTTACAAAGTGAACATTGCAGATTCAGTTAGTTGAAGCTCCCTATCTCTTCTGAGTCTCGTTCCCCTTCTCTCCAGAGGTAACAACATCCTGATCTTAGTGTTTGTCATTGACATGCATGCTTTTATACATTTACTACATATATGTGTGTACACAAACAACCTACATTATTGCTTGGTAAGGTTTTTAAACTTTGTTTAAATAATTGCATCCTTGAAGTACCCACCTGTGCCTTGCATTTTTATTGAAAATTTAAGTTTTTGAGATTTATTGATGATGACATACAGATTTAGTTCATTTTTTAAAAATTACTGCATAGCGTTCAATTTATGACTATACAAAAATTTATGTTTTATTGCATATAGGTAGACATTTGGGTTTTTTCCAACTTTTCACTGTCATAAAGCTGCAATTAACATCCTGATACACATTCCCATGTGCAGAAACATACTGGGTTTTTATTCCTTAATCATTTCTTTTACTCATATGAGTAGTATTCATTATGTAGATAGGTAGGTAGGTAGATAGATAGATATAAATATAGATATATCAGTCATCCTAATAGTCTTACACATGACAACACAATAAACTTTAAAATGATTATAACATTGCACTGATGTTTTCAACTTGTAGCTCTTGTGGAGACATAAGCCTCAGCTCTGAACCATAGACTAATTTAAGGAGTAACCAAATGTGAATACAGAATTGGAAAGGAGGCTAATGTACCTTCAAGAAACTTAGGGTCAATTTAAGCACTGATCTTGCTCCTTTTTCTTTTTCTTTGATGTGTAAATGGTTAGAGTCAGCCTGATTCCCTGTTCCCTTAATATTGACTTGGAGCCAACTTGCTGCAGTATTTAGCCACTGAAGTTAGCACGATCCTTTGTTTAAAGTATGCACACTACCCCCTCGTTGCCCTGGGAGAGACAACATGTTTTTTACTGACTTTGCTTTCCTTTCATTTATTAGTGCCTACTCTGTCCAGATCACTAGGTTAGATGCTCTGGGTGTCCAAAGATGAAGAGGTCCTCAGAAAAACTTGCAATAATACCGCCAAGAAGAGATGCATCGAAACGGTCATCAGTAGGATTTTGGCATCTGACAGAGTTTTTATTTTCTCCCTTAGTGAAACTCAGGAAATGCTCGTCTCCTGCTATTGATGAATAATTTCAGAGTACTATGGATCATGTTGAAGAAAGTGAAATCCTTGCAGCAACCCAGCGGTACTATGTGGAAAGACCTATCTTTAGTCATCCGGTCCTCCAGGAAAGACTGCACAAGAAGGACAAGATTTCGGAATCCATTGGGGATAAGCTGAAACAGGCATTCACGTATGTTGTTTCAACTTATTTCCTTTAATCTGTCATTCACTTATGAGAGAAGCAAGGTCAAATGTATAAAGAGAATCTGGCAATGTGGAGGAAAAAACAAATGGTGAGCACTCGTGATTTGCAGAGCTGTCCACACAGTTCATTCAGTGGTAGATATTTGATGGAACACAAGCTTCATTACATATTTCACCATATTTATTAAATTCCTTCTATGCTTTATGTCTGTATAAAGGTTTATATAAACAACCCACTTTCCAATTCTCCACCCACCTACATAATATCCACCTCTTCCATTTGTCTCTCAGGAATGTTCCAACCCCTCTTTTTCCCACTTGACTTCTACTCCATGTGGCAACACCCTGAATCTATGCATTTAAGTCCCCAACCTAAGCTATCAAGGACACTCAGTGTCTTAGGACACTTACCATTCCCAGGCCAGCAACATGGCTATGTAATACATGTGTGCCTGACATGTGTACCTGATTGCACACCTGATTTTGCAAACCATCTGATTGCTGCCTCCTGAACCCTTGAGACCACAGCTTCATATAAGCTTCACAGTGACCCTGTGCTCTAGGTGTGACATCACGAGAGGTTGAAGGTATGTGCACTGGAGTCAGACTGTCTGAGTTTTGATCCCAGTCCCAGCCACCCACCAGCTGTGCACTTGAGTTTCCTGCTTTGTAAAATGGGAATAGTAATTAGGGCTTACATCATCGAGTTCCTGGGGTTAAAACCTATTAATATATGCAAAGTGCAAGGCATATGGCAAGCACTATATAAATGCAGCTGTTAATATCTCAATTTTCTAAACCAGGAGACTGCTATGAAATCTGGTTTGTTTCACTCAAATTCAGTGCTCTTGCCATAGTTTCCTGACATTTTGCTTCCCGTATCTTCCTGCGTCTAATTACCAGATACTCTTAACCACTAAAGGCACTGTATAAAATACCATGCATGCTGCAGTAATACATTATCCTTTTAAATGGAATAAGTTGCTTCCTCATCACCAGGAGGACTTGAGGCTGTCATAGTGGTGATGGAACTCATCTGTCCATACTCTTACTCACTGATGTCTTTGATTATAGGCATAGACTGGCAAAAGGACTGGCTGAGGTCCAGAATATAGTCTGTGTATCAAAGTTAATTTAACCATCCGGGGATTAAATGCAAAGCCTTGGTTTTTTCAGCATGGTGTTCACCTAACCAAGATAACCAGACATAGACTTAGCTACAGTGCTCCCGTGACAAATGGTGTTTTGAGTTTACCTAATCAGAGACATATTCATAAAGCCCATAATACCTGTGAAAATTTCCTTCATTTTATAAGGAAAGGGAAAACTAAGTGGGTAGATGCTGGTCATTGGTTCCACATCCAAGAGTTAACTCAATCAGTAAATAATTCCCCTACTTCACTTTACACCAACACAGGAAGTACATTAAGTGTTTCACCTGTTGAAATAATAGCTTCTGGGATATCTCAACTATTTTGAAGCTAATTTTTTTTTTCATGGTCAGTTGTAGAGCATTAGAGTGGAGACAATTCAGATGTTCCTTTTTTTTTTTTTTTTTGTGCGTTACGCGGGCCTCTCACTGTTGTGGCCTCTCCCGTTGTGGAGCACAGGCTCTGGACGCACAGGCTTAGCGGCCATGGCTCACGGGCCCAGCCGCTCCGCAGCATGTGGGATCTTCCCGGACCGGGGCACGAACCCGCATCCCCTGCATCGGCAGGCGGACTCACAACCACTGTGCCACCAGGGAAGCCCAGATGTTCCTATTTTTAAAAAATAATAATAATAATAAGCAGGTCTTCTTGTCTCTGACCTCTGCAGAGTAGAAGAGTCATCCTCGGCACCAGTTTTGAATTCTTCCTTACTGCTCCAGGATATGAGGAAGGGAAAATGCCTTGGTGTGAATTCTACAGAAATGGTCCTCATTTTATCTATTTCTTTGTCCTCCAGATGTACCCCTAAGAAAATACGAAATATCATTTACATGTTCCTCCCCATAACCAAGTGGTTGCCTGCATACAGATTCAAGGAGTATGTGTTGGGTGACATAGTCTCAGGCATAAGCACAGGTGTGCTGCAGCTTCCTCAAGGTCAGTAGAATATATTTCTTTCTTTCTGTCCTTCGCTACCATCTCCTCAAACAGTTGCTTGACCATTTTTCTGTTTAATTTCATCGTGATTGGAAATTCATAGTTTTTATCATTATAGCTCTAGTAACCTTCACCTGTTTAAAGGAATTCTCCAGAAATAACCCTTTTAAATAACCTTTTAAAAGCCCCGGAGATATTAGTTGTAGAATGTGGTAATACTGTTTTACAGACCAGTACATGTAGGAGCTGGCTGGGCATTGCCTTTCTCTCGCCAAGTTAATCAGTCACTCCATGAGCATGTTGTTGAGGTTGTCCTTTTTTGTTGTTGTTTTTTAACTTTTATTGAAGTATAGTTGATTTACAATGTTGTGTTTCTTTCAGGGGTTGTCCTTGTTCAGGTTCTTGACTTATAAGTCCATATTCTTACTACAAGGGACCATGATATACTGAATTCTTGTGCCTTTGTGTGATTTTATATGTGATGTAAGAATTTAAGAAAACACTCATTGATTATTCATCTATTCACACACATCAAGTATCTGCCTGGCCGTCCCCATCTTCATGGAACTAACTATCCAATCAGGGAAAGAAACATGAAGCACATAACAGCACGCATCAGTTTTTAATTGCAAATGATGGTAAACACTGTGAAGGAAGATACAGGGCACTCTGACATGGTGATACTAGGGGGACCTAATTTAAGTAGGTAAGTCACAAAAACCCCTTTAAGAAGATGAGATTGAAGTGAGACCTGAAGGACGAGTAGCAGGGAGGTAAAGAATGAGAAGAAGTGCACTTCAGGAAGAAGTGATAGCATGTGTGAAGGCATTTAGCAGGAAGAGAATTGGGTGTTTGAAGAATTATGAGAGAGGCAGGGTGCTAGGAGTGTGGGGAGTGAGGGGCTGGAGCCTGGCAAGGCAAGCAGTGGCAGGTGTGCACAGCCTTGACGGGCCCCTTTGGATTTCGTTCTGAGCGCGGTGAAAGCTGTCAGCGTGCTTTTTTCAGTTGGGTATTTCTGGTAAGAGATCACTGAGACTGTCGTGTGGGGAATGGACTTGGCTGGCGAGAAGTCACCAGGATGAATGTAGGGAGAACAATTAGAGGTGACAGTGACTCAATGTGGTCAAAAGGTGATAATGGCTTGAACAGCCTCTAGGTAAGCTGGCAGAAAATCTGTTCCCTTCTCCAGTTGCCCAAAAACTAATTGCTGAACAATCGATTTGTAAAAAAAATATATATATATTTTTCCCAGTGATCAGTTAGCTGAGTTTTTAATTTTCCAAGTGACTGAGTTATCGAATCTATTAAATCTGTTAAACAAAAGCCTTAAATCAGGTTTAGGACCATTCTCCACAACAATTTTGTCACCAACACCCCAAGGATAGAGAAAGGGATGTATTTAAAGGCAGAGGTGAGGGCAGGGGGAGGAGCAGACAGAGGCTGGGCATCTGGAGTGGGAAATAGGAGCTAGACCGACATTCAGTCAAGTTGGACTGACAGAGCCACAGGAAATGGCTGTAGTGAACGCATGTAAATGAATACGTCAAAGAAATCCTCAGAATTTAGCCTAGTTGGGTTTTCACTGAAGTGCCATTCCACAACTTTTTTTGGACCTGTAGACATTATGTAAACATCTACCCATTGAACTGTGAGCTCACAAAGGCTCTTCCTTGCCCTGTTCAGCTCCAAAGAGCATGCAAGAACTTACAGCACAAGGCAGATGGTCACCTGTACCCAGAGAAAAGAGCTATAGTGACAAAGAATATTCTCAGAATTGAAATACATGAGTTTTCAGACTGAGAGCAACCATCAGGTACCCATCAGAATTCATGAAAAATTAACTTAAAACAAGACACACCATTGTAAAACGGTATCAGAATACCAGGAATAAATAGAAGATCCCAAAACTTTCTAGAAAGGAAAAAAAAGTCACATAACCATGAAATCATAACCTAGAGGAATCTGAAAAAATAGGCATTACAGAAGGTCAACAGTTTATATCTACAACGATAAACCAAGAAGTAACAATGTGAACAGGTTATGTAGAACGGGTTTCTCAGCCTGTACCATGTACACTGGTGATGGGGGCCCATCCTGTGCATTGCAGGGTGGGTAGCAGCATCCCTGGCTTCTACCCACTAGATGCAGCAGCAGCCCCACTCCCAGGCTTGGTAATAAAAAATGTCTCCAGACATGGCCAGATATCCCCTGGGGGTGGGCAGAATCCTCTCGTGTAGGAACTGCTGATTTAGAAAAATGGAGATAAATGGTAGAAAAACAGCTGAAAGAGTTAGAAGTGAGTGCTTCTGGGGAGTGGAACCTAGAGTAAGGCAGAAGAGTGCTGGCTTTTCCTCCCAGCCTCCCTAGTACTGCTTGGCTTTTTATACTATGGACGTGCATTTCTTTGCTAGAAATAAAAAATATTTTTAAATGCAACATTAAACTTACCATATTGTTACATATGAAATAGGGATGCTTTCCCAACTCTTCTTTTGCTAAAATGTTCTTATCCACAATATGACAATGCGTTACATGAACTTTCTAGTTATTCCAGACACTTGGTGAGGCCCCAAAGCTGAGAACAAAGGGTGTTTATTGCTTACACGCTCTAAAGAGGGATTCCAGGCCATCCATGCAAAACGATGAGTGAATGACACACATGCTCTCTCCTTAGTGCATCACCCCAACAGGATGTAAGGGGACAAGAAGACTGATACTAGATTTGGAATGAGAATTTTTTAGAGAAAGGTGAAAAAAGCCCTATGCATTTCCCCTCCACCTAAAGTTAAGGAAGTAAGGAAGGACTGCAAGAGAATCACTTGGAGCACTGGACATGTGTCCCCTGGAGTTTGTGGGCACTATTGCCTAATTCTTGCAAAAAAAATAAATCTACAGGTGAAAGGGTGTGAACTGCCTATGACAGCAAAATGAAGAGGACCCCTCCTGTGGGCATGGCCTACACGTGCACAGTTTACTGGGGTAAAGCATCAGATAACTGGGCACCCTGGGAGGTAACCTGGCTTGGCTCATTTGAAAGGCACCTGCCCAGAAGTCTGCCTACAGGATGAGCAGCTGCCAGCAGAAAGAACCTGGAGGAGGTGTAAGAACTGGAACCTGTAAGGGGCCTAGGTCGGTGGGGGCGGCATTACATCGGCCAGGGAATAGTACAGTGGGAGTTCCTCACTGAAAACGGGTCTCCAGAGAACCCTGAAAACACCCCATTGGAGAAACAGCTGGCATTTGGGCATCAACACCAGATTACAACTGCACCAGTCAAGTAAGACTTTCTGCCGTTATGTAATTTGGGAAAGAATAAAGCAGAAAAAAATCCACCCCTGGCAAAGAGGAGATGACAAGGAAAACTGTCTCAGCCTGGACTCTCTGAACACAAATATAGGATTCCATGTAAGAGTGGGATGGAAGGGTGGGTATGTTAAAACACATCTGCTTAAATTAACATGATTTTCACTTGTTCATCATAGATAAAGAACCAAGAGAAAAACACACATAGCCCTCTGTTTTCTAATGAGCTCCCCGTTTCTGTTTGGTTTTTTATCCCACAGGTTTAGCCTTTGCAATGTTGGCAGCTGTGCCTCCGGTGTTTGGCCTGTACTCTTCATTTTACCCCGTTATCATGTATTGTTTTTTTGGAACCTCCAGACACATATCCATAGGTAAACCTTACAGTTGATATTTTAGTACCTTTCCTTTTGGATTTCCAAGCTTTGCAGTGTGCCAAAGAAACAGCATGTTTGTTATTAGGACATCTGCTTAGTAACAACTTTTGTTACTGTATACCCAGTAGGTGCTTTTAAAGAATACACTCCCCCTCAAGTTTTCTAGAACTAACAGCTTTCTCATAATCTGGGCATAATAGAAAAAGACAATTTTCTTGTGTAAAAAGAGCAATTGTTGAAATCTGTGAAATAAGTGCTTGAGTTCATAATACAATTTGCCTGCATCTCTTTTTTTTCCTCTGTTTTATTAGTGATACTGCAAGTTCCTAATTACTATGCATATAACGCATTTTCATCTTATTTTAGGCACTGAATTGTACTTGGTTTCTCTTTAGTGTATTTAGGATCAGATTTATATGGATTTCATAATAGTGTTGATGCTGCCTGAGGCTGCCACCAGCCAACACACCCAAGGTCTCAGCTGTCCGTTGCTGGGTAACACATAACCCCCCCCCAAGTTTAGCAGCTAAAAACAACCACCATTTGATTATCTCTCACAGTTCCTGTGGGTCAGGATTTGGGAAGGGCTCATCTGGGCAGTTTAGGCTCAGCGTCTCTCAAGCAGTTAAGAGTCAGGTGGGAGCTAGAGCCAGAGCAGCTACAGGAAGGCTGGACTCCCCTCCCTCTCTTCTTACCTCCCGCCCTCACCCTCTCTCCATGTGGTCCTGACTGGGGCTTTCTTGCCTGTAGGGCTGCAGCACGAGCGAGCAGTACAGCTCTCAGGGGGAAGCCGCATCACCTGTTGTTACTTGGCCTCAGCAGTCACGCAGTATCACTTCTGCTGCATTCTTTTGATTACTAGCACGTCACGAGTCCACCCAGATTCAAGGAGAGAGGAATTAGACCACCTCTTCATGGGGAAATGTCAGGGTTCTAGAAGAGTGTGTGGGATGGAAGATTTTGTCACAGTGCAGTGTTATTTCAAGGAGGATTTATTGACCTCACCTGTGTCTCCTGGGGTACTGGAAACAACCACATCAGACATACTGAACATAATTTCCCTGATTAATGCTTCCTTATTTCAGGTCCATTTGCAGTTATTAGCCTGATGATAGGCGGCGTGGCTGTTCGATTAGTACCAGATGATATAGTCATTCCAGGAGGAGTAAACGCAACCAACAGTACGGAGGCAAGAGATGCTTTGAGAGTGAAAGTCGCCATGTCTGTGACCTTACTTACAGGAATCATTCAGGTAAGACTCACAGATGTGGAAATGGGCTCTCATTTGCTCATTTAATAAATATCTGTTGAGCACACTTGGCTGGTCTACATGGTGGATAGGGTCAGCCAGCAAAACTCCAGAGCTCAGGGTTCATAGCTCAGGAACGCCAGTCCCACTGCATGCCTTACTTAAATTGATACTGAATAGGAACTAGCTAGCTTCAGTTGGATACTTTAGAGATTCCAAAAGCAAGACTAGTTTGAAGCGGGATGGGTTAGTAATGGGAAGAGGGCCTGGAAGGGGCAGGAAGTGACATGACTAAGCCTACCCCCACTTCTGAGGGACAGAGAGAGTACGGGGGTGCCCATTGCTCCGTGGGGCTCCAGGCCCTTCCAAGCCTTCCGTTGTTTTATGCATAACCAGTGATTGATTTTATTAGCTACTTACTTGCTGCAGGTGCAAGTTTGTAGTGTTAGAAAATGGTCCAGAAAGAACTTTTTAATGTTTTCTGTTGGTTTTAACTTCCTGACCTATCATGTGATTTATTTGTTTCTTTGTCATTAAAAAAAAAAAAATAGTTTTGCCTAGGTGTCTGTAGGTTTGGATTTGTGGCCATATATCTCACGGAGCCCCTGGTCCGTGGGTTTACCACTGCGGCAGCTGTGCATGTCTTCACCTCCATGTTAAAATACCTGTTTGGAGTTAAAACAAAGCGGTACAGTGGGATCTTTTCAGTGGTGTATGTAAGTAAGCAACTTCCCGACTTACTGGTACTTGTTTTCCCTTCTTTATTTTTCCCCCTTCTCTTCTGTATCTCTTTTACCTTCAAGGCTCACTTTTCTTATTTCCAAGAATTTCAATAAAGTGGAGAAGATTTAGTTATTCTAAGGCTTTTCTGAGAAGAGCACTACAAGGAAAATTAAACCTTAAAGTCTCATTTCTTTAATATATGATACTATCTACCTCACAAGGAATTTTTTGGTTAGGTCTTTTTTAAATATTTATTTATTTATTCGGCTGTGCTGGGTCTTAGTTGCGGCATGCAGGATCTAGTTCCTTGACCAGGGATCAACCCGGGCCCCCTGCATTGGGAGCACGGAGTCTTAACCACTGGACCACCAGGGAAGTCCCTGGTTAGGTCTTTATTTGGTTATTTCACCTTGACTCTAGTTAGCTAAAGAAACAGCTTTTTTCTTATGACAAATTAGATTATCTTTGGGAACTAACAAATAATTTAAAGGCATTATGGGATAATAGATCTCTCTCAAAAACTGCTTACTCAAGCAGGCAAAAAAATAAGTCTGTAAAGGATCTATTGTGTAACTATCACAATTAACCAGTTTAATCTAATAAAATAGACATAGATCCCTCTACCCAACTCAGAGAAAATATAAATTATTTGCAAGCACGTAGGTAACAATGGTAATAACTGATCACGTTGAGAGTGGTCACGTAAAACTGATCACAAATTCTAAAACTGCAGTGTTGTTTCACATGGTGCAGTAGATTAGCAATCAATAACTAAATATAGCTTTAAAACCCCCGTACATTTGGAAACCAAAAACATATTTTTAAATAACCCATGGGTAAAGAGGAAGTTATGAAAATTATTAAAACCAAATGACAGTGTAAGTACTACATACCAGAACTGAGATGCTGCTAAAGCTATCCTTGGAATGAGAGATCTATAGCCTTTGGAGGTATTGATGTGTCAGACACTGTGTTAGGCAGAGCAGTGAGTTTACGGTCCAATGGGAAGACAAATAGTAAACTGCTAATCACATAAATATGTAATTAAGTACAAATTGTGTTAAGTGCTATGAAGAAAAAATCAGGCTGCTCTAAAGTTGAATAGAGCAAGCTTTAGATTAGCGGTCTAGGAAAGTCGCTTTGAGGAAGTAACAGTTAAATTGAGTCCTTCATTGATTAGAATGGAGTCCAACTGTGGGAGCATTCCCTAAATAACTAAATTATTCGTTTCCCGTAATAGCTGGTAACATGCTTCTTACTCTGAGATTTCTCAAAATGCCTTGTCACAAAGGAAATAGAACAGACAAGCATACTAGAGAATGCTCCTAGGCATTGATAGGAAAAGTGTGTAGCCTGGGCTCGGTGGTAACCTACTTTTCCAGGGTCCAGATAAGTACTGACTGCATTTGGGGTGCCGAGACTGCAGCCTTAGGAGAAAATTAAGCGGCTTTCTTCTCTAACTTTCCTGGGCTTCTTTCCAAGCTTCAGCCACTCTCTTCCCTTCAAAGCTCACCTGATTCGTCTTTCATCTGCTAACAGTGATTTCTCTCCCTCCTTCAGCTCCTAAAAGCTTTCGTATGTATTTACCTATGAATTTTTTTTGCTGATATTACCCCTAGTCCTTTCCTAATGCTCAGGACTCAGCTTCAGGGTTACTTTTCTGAATTTTACAAAATCCTACATTGAGATGTTAGCGTAGCAAAGAACACTGTAATATAAGATTGTCAGGTAAGGATTACAACTACCAAGTTGTATGACTGGGTAAAAATGACTCCTAATTGGTGAAAGCTGCAGAGAGAGAGACTTCAGCCTGAGAACCTTTAGCTAGAGATGTCCGCTAATGGGATGGCTGGTGTGAATTAGAGCACTAGACTGTCTCTGTCTATTCAGGGGCTCTTGCTTGATGTAACATCCAGTGTTCACTGTGTTACAGAGTACAGTTGCTGTGTTGCAGAATGTTAAAAACCTCAACGTGTGTTCCCTAGGCGTTGGGCTGATGGTCTTTGGTTTGCTGCTGGGTGGCAAGGAGTTTAATGAGAGATTTAAAGAGAAATTGCCAGCGCCCATCCCCTTAGAGTTCTTTGCGGTAAGTCAGCTTCCAGCAGCATACGCCTACCTATTTCTGTGCGGGGTTTAGAAGTGGACCCGGGAGGAGGAGACTTGACCTCTTTCCTCTCACTTCTGCCAAGAGAAGGTTGGAATTTGTCAAGGGGAACTTTTACAAATACACTGACAGAAAAAGAAAAGCATTAACACAGAGTCATGGATGATTTTTAAAATATAGCTGAAGTCTGTCCATAAAAATGTGAATGTAAATTATCTTTGAGTGAAATTATGGAGATTTTTCTTTTTCAAAGTTTTTATTGTCTAATTGTTTTATAATGAACATATAAACTTTAATAACCTGAGAAAAGTAAGCTGTTTCCATTCTGAAAAGAGCAAATGACAAAGGTTCCCAAACTTTCTTGGTTCCTGGCACTCCTAGGCCAAAAGAAATGCCTAAGTAATAGTTCCATTTACTAAGTAGTAAGGTCCAAACAACTTCATACGTATTTATGTCTAACAACTTAAGAACTGTTTGTAAAAATAATGCACGTAAAATATATTTTATGACATTCTTAAATCACCACAGTAATTTATTAACGAATGCGCGTGGCGGCTGGTGGGCACTTCACAATCCCTCAAACCTGGGAATCAGATGGACACCACTACCATCATTTCCTGTTCACTTTGATTTTTGCATGGTACCTGCTTTTTTATCACAGTGACCACTGAATGCCCAGCTTTGCAAACATGTGGTGTGACTGAAAGGAATGTAGTAGGAACTAATATCGAAACTGTGAACTACCTCAAACTAGAAGTTTGCTTGGTGTCTGACACGTGTCACTGTTTTCCTTGAAAGTCATGTCCCACAGTGTCCTGGTGAGTTCTCCTTGGGAGCCTGGAGCACTTTGGTGTATGGTTTTTTTTTTGTTTTTTTAACATCTTTATTGGAGTATAATTGCTTTACAATGGTGTGTTAGTTTCTGCTTTATAACAAAGTGAATCAGTTATACATATACATATGTTCCCATATCTCTTCCCTCTTGCGTCTGGTGTATAGTTTGGGAGCCACAAGGAGAAGAAATAAAAAGTATAGGTGTCTGACCCAGAGCTAGCTAAAAGTTCCAGCCACAAAAACCACTGGCTCGTATAGCTCACAAAGAAGCCAGGCCCTTTGACCCTTTTCCTTGCTTTCATCTTGTCTATACCCGAATTGGACTGTCTCTCACTGTTTTAAGACCTGTTCTCTCATTGGGGTTGGGCCCAGAGTTCCTGTTTCCTCTTGGAGAACAGCAAGAGGTTCTCAGCTCCTTCGCATGGCAGTGGAGAAAGGCAAGCCCTAATCATGAAGTAAATGATGAAGACTGACTTTCCTGGCTTGGGATCCTAGTTTTGTCCACTTTCCAGACTCCCTTTAAAGGTTCCTTCATGTTTTCCAGGGCAATGGTTCTCCAGAATTCTATCATTATAATTGTGGTTGAACCTGTTTTTTGGGTTTTTTTTTAACTTCTTACCTGTATGCTCCTCAGAGCAAGGGAGAGGGAAGCTATACTGGAAAACTTGGGACAGAATCTTCATGACTCTCTTTAAACATACGGTTCCTTTCTTATCATAAAATTGTTTGGGGTTCTGCGTTCTGTTTCACAGTGCATCTGTTTGTGTTGGTAGGAAAGCTTTGGTTTCAATTTATTTATCACTGCATAAAGTTGATGCTCCAGGAACTTGAGCCATGTGTATCCTGTGGATTTGAATTTTCTGGGCACTCCCCCAGTTTGCGATGCACAACAGATGTAATTAAGGGTGACAGACATTGCAACCAACAAAGAAGGGGCATTTCATCATAGCGGCCGGAAGCAGCCACGCCCTTGGTCTCTCGGGCTGCTGTGTCTGATAATGAGCTTACCTTCTTCTTGGTTCCCTGCAGCAGCCCCCTTTGGTGGGGGTCTGGCTCCCTTCCCTGGCCAGCCCTATGCCTTCGCTCCTGGATAACCCACTCAGAAAGTTCTACAAGCAGTGGTTCTTTGGGATGAAGAAAGTTGCTGTCTCTCCTTCTGTTATTTTTCTCTTCTTGTAGCTCACTAAGGCTCGTACTTTACACACAGACTGAATCTGTGCCCCGACAATCCAGGCAACCTTATGTACAAGGACACTCCGTGATGGGCGGTTTCACCCTGACCCTGACTTGGCAACAGACGTGGGAGAAGATAGCCATGGGGTGCTGGTGGAGGCCTCTAACCACCTTGGTGCTGCTGTCCTGGAAACAAGAGTCCATAGGAAGATTGTGCAGTAGATCCAAACCTACATGTTATAATGATACACTGTCACTGTACCACCCTCACAATACATATTTCATGTCCTTTATTTGTGCCACCTTGGCCAGAGCCTCATTTTACCTGCCCCAAAGGCAAAGCCAGCTCCTGAAAGGTTTTATGGTTTCTTTGTTTGTAGCCAACTAGCCAAATGCCTCAGGATGGAACAGAACAAAGTAAAGAGAAAAGAATTCCAGGCCACAAGGAGACTGTAGAGTCCATTTTAATTTTGTGGAGAAGGGTCATTAGGAGAAGTTAGAATTGCTGGAAGCTAACTATAATTCTTTTTTTAAAAAACCGAGAAAGTGAGAATAGATTTGGCTTGGCTAACAAGTTCTTTGAAGCTTATTTTTGTGGTGTTTGAACGTTCATTTCTAAAGGTACGTTTGGTTTTGTGTCTGTTTCAGGTGGTTATGGGAACTGGCATTTCAGCTGGGTTTAGCCTGCATGAATCGTACAATGTGGATGTCGTTGGGACACTTCCTCTGGGGTAGGAAAATAGTTTCAAGTAACCGTGTGACTTGAATAATCAAGGGATCTATTATTGCTTCTAACTCCTGCTTTAGTATTGCAATGAACAATCTTTTTTTTTTCCTACATATCAAATAGCTGAGGGTTTGCTGCGGGGGGTTGAGTTTGGTTTTTTTGGCTATGTGTGGGGGGGGTGGCTTATTGTGGTTAAGAAAAAAATAACATAAAACTTAACCATTTTAACCATTCATAAGTGTACAGTCCAGTAGTGTTAAGCATATTCACATTGTTGTGAAACAGATCTCCAGAACTTTTTCATCTTGCAAATCTGAAACTATACCGTTAAACAATAACTCTCCATTCTCCTTTCCCTCCATCCCCTACTTTCTCTCTCTATGAATCCGAGTACTCTAGTACTCTAGTACTCTTGCCTTCTCTGTGACTGGCTTATTTCATTTAGCATAATACCAACGTTCATCCACGTTGTAGCGTGTGACAGGATTTCCCTCCTCTTTAAAGCAGAATAAAATTCCACCTTATGTATGTACCACATTTTGTCTATGCATTCATCTGTTGGTGGACATTTGGGTTGCTTCCACCTCTTAGCTATTGTGAATCATCCTGCTCTGAGCATGGGTGTGCAAGTGTCTCCTCAAGACCCTGCTTTCAGTTCTTTTGGATATATACATAGACGTGGGACTGCTGGATGATATGGTAGTCTGCTTTAACTTTTTGAGGAACCTCCATAATGTTTTTGAAAGTGGTTGCACCATTTTACAGTCCTACCAACAAATGGTATGTGGGTTTTCGTTTTGTTCTGTTTCCTATTTAGCATTTATCGGTTTTTTAGATCTCTTCCTGGGTAGCTTTGGAGCTAAAAGCAAAACGGCCTAAATCTAGCCTGCCACTTAGTAGCTTTGTGACCTTGGGCAAGTCACTTATCCTCTCAAAGCCTCAGTTTCCTCCCCTGCTAGGTAAGCATGGTAATTGATGACTATCTCAAGAGCAGTTGTGAGAGTTACAGGAGAAAATGTGTCTAAAGCAGCCAGTGTAGCATTTGGCATGCACAGTGCACGTTCAAGACATGTTAATTGAAAGTTCTGTGGCTCATTATTTCAATCAGGTTTCTAGTTTTAAATCATATATTACTTCTTTGCTTCATCTGTTTTTCTTGTACCTAATTGTACATTTTAAAAATTTTACTATTATTTTTATATTTGAAGGAGTGAGAGTGACTGCGAGCCTCTCCTGATCTCACTCTGTCCCTCTCTGATACCCTGGCTGTCTCTGTACCGCTCTGCGTGTCTCTGTCTTTCTGTTCCTGGTACTGTCTCTTTCTTGCCACTCTGTTCTCTCTTTCCAAAAGAAGAGTTAGACATTTGCCCAGATGCTGGACATTGACAGGACCTGGTATATTCCATCAGGCCTTGCCCCTGGAACCACCTAAGAATCTCCAGGGAAGCACAGGCAGCAGGAGTTGCTTTTTAAGCCAAAGTTCAGAAGCCTGCATTCAACTTCAGCGAACTGCTGTCATAAACGTGTTACTTATGATTCAATGTAAAGGTATAACACAGTGATAACCCTTGTTTTTCTATTTGCACTTATAATTTTTTGAGTACTTTTATACCCACCATGTCAGTTGATGCTCACAATTACACTGTTGATATATGTTATCTTCATTTAGCAGAGAAGAAAGTTCATTTATTCCTATTTATTCAGCATATGTTTATTGAGTGCCTATTATGTGCCAGGGACACAGCAGTTAAAAACAAAAGTGAACATGCAAGCATAAAAGCCTTTGGTCTCATGGAACTTATATTCTACTAGGAGAGATAGACAATACATCAATAGTGAGACATGCTATGAAGACAAGGGAAGCCAGGTAAGAGATAGGAGGGGCTGGGGTTGCTCTTTTAGGTAGGGTATCAAGGAAGGTGACATTTGAGAGACGTGAGTGAAGTTTGGTATGTCCCAGCCTGGACCCAGAACTCAATCTTCTGATACCCAGTTGTGTGATCTTTCCATTACCTCACACCTGGCTCACTAACATAATTCGTCATGTGATAAACATGTGTCTTTGGATCCAGTAGATAACCCTATTCAATAACTAATCACAAATAATCTACATGTGAATTTTCACGCTTAGATTTCTCCTTTTAAAAATTCACATGCCACCATCATTCCTACCTAATACCTTCCTTTCCCTATTGCATTATACCCAAATATGTTGCTTTCCCGCTACGTATGAGAGCTAAACTTTTTTTTGTTAATAAATTTATTTATTTAATTTATTTATTTTTGGCTGTGTTGGGTCTTCGTTGCTGCACACAGGCTTTCTCTGGTTGCGGCGAGCGGGGGCTACTTCTGCATTGCAGTGCACAGGCTACTCGTTGCAGTGGCTTCTCTTGTTGCGGAGCACGGGCTTCAGTAGTTGTGGCACGCAGGCTCTAGGAGAGCTAAACATTTTTTTAAAAACTAAGAACATTTTACCTTTTTGAAACTTGACTTCCCAGAAACCTTATCTTTCTGGAACTTTGCCCAAAACCAGGCAGGCAATCAATAATGCCTCCCTGACTTCCTATCTGTATACAGTCATGCTGCTTCAGTGATCTGTGAGTCTCACTGCTGAAGAACAGTGGCTTATAACAATGTCCGTTTATCTGCTTGCAGTTTGTCAGTGTAGGTGGGGCTCAGCTGAGTGGTTGTCTCCCTTGGGGTCTCTCAGGCAGCTGCAGACTCTGAAGGGGTGACCAGGGCTGGAGGATCCAAGAAGGCCTCGCTCACATGTCTGACAGCTCAGCTGCAGTGGCTGGAACAGCTGAGGGCTGGCTGGCATCTTCTCTCCATACGGGTCTCCAGCAGTGTAGCCAGGTTCTTTAGGTGTCAGCTCAGGGCAACAGGACAGAAAAGCAGAAGCTGCCAGGCTGCTTACAGCACTCATGCAACATCACTCCCACCACATTCTGTTGGCCAAAGCAAATCACAAGGCCAGCCCAGATTCAGCCAGAGGGGAAACAGACCACATCTAGATAGGGGAGCAGCACACAGAAGTATGCGAGGAATTGGTGGTGGTTGTATTTGGAAACAAACTACCACACTTATCTACACACACACACACACACACACACACACACACACCGTAAATATATAATACAGTGTCCAGACAGTGACAGCTGACTGTTAGAGATCCCACTCACAGCAATATATCATGTTCCTTGGTTTACTTCTCTTCACTCATTGCAGCATACATTCTTTTCTCATATTCTTATTCCTCAGACCCAAACCTGCTGCCAGGCCTTCTCTCCTAGTTAGTGTTTATGTAGCAAAGTGCAAGGAAAAGACAGTGAGTTCTATAGGCAGACCCCCTGCGTCTGGTTCCCTGCTCCGTCTTCAGCAGATTACTTAACATCTGCAGGCATCCATTTTTTCACGTATAAATTGGGGTAATAATGGCACCCATCTAAAAGGATTGTTGTGAGGGCAAATGAGATGACATATATCAAGCATGTAGCACATAATCTAGGCTTAACATACGTTAGGTTCCTTTGCTCCCCTCCCTTTCCCTTACCTCAGAACCTGAGACAGCCCCTTTGTCACTGTGATATGACACAGTATGAGAAATAGTGTGGAGAGACGGGTTCTTTGTGGTTTTTGTTGTACTTAATAGATGAGCTGTTTGACCTTGGACAAGTTACTTGACCTCACTATGCCTCATTTTCCTCATCTGTAAAATGGGGATTATAACGGTACCTAGCTCACAGTGCTGTTGGAGATAGATAAACACAGAACCTGGCACAAGAGGAAGCGCCTAATGAATGACTGTAACAGTAATAATATTGTACATCAATTAATTGATATTGTTATTTAGCCCAGTGCCTTGAATTGGAGCAGGTGCCTTTGAAAACCTCTCTTGCCCCTTCCCCCGTACCATTCTGGGGAACACCTATTCTGTTCTTTTAGGACAAAGGTTCCAAACTATAAGAATGGACCACAAAAGTTAGGTTCCCCATTGGGGAGCTCCAGGAGCCACGCTTTTGGCCCCTCCAGATTCCTAAGATTCCCTGGTGTGACCCAAGGAGTATAATCTGCTGCTGCTCATTTCCCACGTTAGACGCTCACCTAAAGGGATCCAGGGAAGAAGCAGGGTCCCTACACCAAACAGCAAGGGAGAGCAGTGAGTACCTAGTGTTGCCTGGACGGTAGTAATTCTCTGATATGATAGCCCCTGTCCACCTCCCTCCTCACCTCAGTTTTTGGTTCGAATGTCTTGTGGCATCTGAGCGCTTCGCTGACCCTCTCCTCTACCTGCTCTGAGTCTTACTTACACCTGCCATACGGGCTGCCGTGAGGTATGAGGTTACTCCTTTTCTAAATAAAACGGCATTTGATCTCTGCTGATAACCCATTCAGGTAGAAAGCCGGCACTCTGGGGTTGGGGCCTGGAAAGAACTTGTGTGTCAAAGAGGGCCCTGCTTTTTGCCAAACAAGTACCCAAGTGTTGATCACCTCATCTGCAGATAATGCCCCCCTACAATGCTCCCCTCTAGCTGCATGTTTTTTTCCAGTGGTCACAATGCCCAGGTTAAAGTCAGCTTCACCTTTCAGGCTGCTACCTCCGGCCAATCCGGACACCAGCCTCTTCCACCTTGTGTACGTGGATGCCATTGCCATAGCCATCGTTGGATTTTCAGTGACCATCTCAATGGCCAAGACCTTGGCAAATAAGCATGGCTACCAGGTTGATGGCAATCAGGTAAAAATCATTAATTTCCTGCGGATGTTTCCTGGTGGCACAGTCATCTTGCTCTACTATAGGAGACAAATAAACTGGATTTCTCCATCTTGGTAGAAAAAAAATTGCTTTGGTGATGGATGTATTTGAAGCATGTATTTATTCAACATTACAGTTTTTTCGTGGTTTGTGTGCCTTAAATCATCAGAACACTGAGGTACAGACTCCTACCTCACCTCATCAGTAGGTGCAGTCTCCAATCTGAGGTTGACAGTTTGCCATACTCCTCTAGGCGCTATCCCTATTTTTAAAGCTCACAGCCTGAGAATCTAATGTTTTTCCAGAACCATTTTTACTCTACAGGAAAGCCTTCTCTTTGTTCACTGAACTTTGAGTTTATGATTCATCACTTAAACCCCATAATACATTCTTTGCCGCCTTTTTTTATAAGATAGCTACAGATAAAGTATTTAATCTGAATACCATGAGCCATTATTTGTTTCTAAGATAAATACCCAGTGTGTATTTATCTTAGAAATTCACACTGTGCATTTCTAAGAGGAGACTAGACGCTCCATATTCATACGAGACACAGTAATCCATCTAGGAAACCCGGAAGTTGCCCTGAGATCAGGACTCACTCACTGGTCCCAAGAGGACACTGGCATGGGTTCCTTGATAAACAAGAGCCCAGGCATTTAAAAGATGCCAGCAGTCCTATTCACCAATAACTTTCTCTTAAACGACAAAAATATTTTGTCCGTTTTGCTGCAGTTTTCTTTAAAAACAAAAGCATTATTTGTGTAGAGAGTGTGTTTGGGAAAGAGGGGGCTAGGTGGTGAGCGCAACATTTATCTCCAACACAATAAAAATTCAAGGTGTTTTTCTTGAATTAATTCAAGAAATTAATGCATTAATTCCTGTTTTGAACTCATGTTAAACAAATTCTTGTATCTGGAAAGAGAATGAAGAGACAGCCTGTACTGCTGAAAATGTGCATTAAATGGGCCATCATGCCTGGCTTCCTGAAAAATAACTGATCTCTTTTGTGCTTTGCTTCCACGTGGAAAAGGAGCTCATTGCCCTGGGACTGTGCAATTCCACTGGCTCACTCTTCCAGACTTTTGCAATTTCATGCTCCTTGTCTCGAAGCCTTGTCCAGGAGGGAACTGGAGGGAAGACACAGGTGCGTATGCAACTGGCCTCCAAGGTCTGGTGATTTGGGTGATAAACTTTAATCTGTTGATTGTATTCTGCCTGAAGATCCATGCTCCAGTGAGCTGTGTATGAATCAGAGAAAGGCATGATTGGTTGAAGCAAATCACAAGGAACTGAATCTACAGAAAAGGGGTATATTCGCCAGTCAAATCGAAAAATTAAACAACACTCCCTGCTACCAGTAAACCTCAAAGTTCAGACATAGGATGTTGTCATGAAAGCCTGAGAGTGAGTATGGGCAGGATGCCAGCACCATCCAATAGACCTTTCTGCTGTGATGGAAATGTTTGATATCTGTACTGTCCAGTATGGCAGCCACTAGCCACATGTAGCTCTTGAGCACTTGAAATGTAGCTAGTGCAACCAAGACCTGAATTTTTAATTTTATTTGATTTTACTTTTTAAGATGTAAATAGCCACATGTGGCTAGTGGCTACCACTTTGGATGGTAAAAGCCTTATCTGAACTCTTCTGGCCCCTGTGAGTCTTGGGTCAGCACCATACAACTCCTTTCCCCCACCCCTGGCACGGGCATTTCATTCAGGGTATTTAAATATTTCAGCTTCTGGTTTAAAGGCTATATGAGGAACCAAAACCTCAGAAAGGGAGTGGGAATGAGTTACAGGTTTATGTAATGGTATGGATGACTTATATGAAGCCATATCTTCCCACAGTGATTATCAAAAGACTAAGACCAACCGATGCCCCGCCTCTTACTCAGGTCTCCTAAAAGCCCCTTCCACGTGTCTTCTCTCATTCAGCTTGCAGGTTGTTTGGCCTCATTAATGATTCTGCTGGTCATATTAGCCACTGGATTCCTCTTTGAATCATTACCCCAGGTATGTAGCTTAGACTTGGTGTGAGGTTTTCTCATGTATAGAGACTTTGCTATTTTATTTGTTTATATTTTTGTGGCTGTCTCATGGGTTTTTACTGTAACCCTAGTGAGGTGGTATGAGAAAGGGCCAAGGCTAGGATCAATATCCTGTTCCACAGTCTGCCAGCAACGGGGACCTAGGGAAAGCCACCTCAGCATCTTTGATTCTCAGTTTCTTTATCTGCAAAGTGGAGGTTTGGGTTTGGCTAATCTCCAAGGTCCTTCTCTCTTTGATCTTCTATGACCTTATACTCCCATTAAAAATTTGAGGTGGCCTACACTCATAAAACGTTTAGTTACTGGAACATTTAATCCAGTAGAGCTCAGGAATGCTATAGCATAGAGAAAATCATAATGCAGGAAGACCATGGGTGAGATAAGTCCTTGAGTACCGTTTAATTCTGAACCTCTTGACCACCATGCAGGTTTGCTACTAGGATATAAGCCTGGTTTTCAAGTCCCATTTTAGCTAACCAAGTCCTGAAAATCCAGGTGTTCTTGTCTCCACATGTACCATCACTGCCCTGTAGTAAGGGAGTGGGGAAAGGACGGTGGGAGGGCAGCCGCAGGACAGTGAAGGGCCAGCAGAGGGGGTCTCTGGACACAAGAGGAGAGGCACGCATGAATGTGCTGTGTTTCAGGCTGTGCTGTCGGCCATTGTGATCGTCAACCTGAAAGGAATGTTTATGCAATTCTCAGATCTCCCCTTTTTCTGGAGAACCAGCAAGATAGAGCTGGTAAGTAACAAAGGTGATTGCTAGGTGAATATGTCATAGCAACAAATGTATTGTTGCTGATAAAAATGTGAGAAAGATAAGTTACTGTGGCCAGTTATTATATGCAGTATCCAGTTAGGCAACAAGGCTAGGTACTCTGTGTGTGTGTGTGTGTGTGTGTGAGAGTGAGTGACTCTTAGGAAATTTTTCTCATGATTCTACCTGAAGCTTTCTGTCTTTTGTTTAGACCATCTGGCTTACCACTTTTGTTTCCTCCTTGTTCCTGGGATTGGACTATGGCTTGATTACTGCTGTGATCATCGCACTGATGACTGTGATTTACAGAACACAGAGGTGAGTGCACAGATTGGCATGGGTGTGTGTCCTGCCTGAGACTGCAACAGTGAGTTTAAACGTAGATCAAAGCTCGATCTGGTCAAAGTAAGCTCTTTGGTTACTTCTGGTTAGCATGAAAGGGAACTGAGGACTCATGGGGCTTGTTGACTAAATAAACAAACTGCCAAATGAAAAACTCAGTATGATCGTGCCAGATGCTCTACTCTATCACAGTTTATAATTCCATCAGTGGTTTTCTTAAAAGAGCCTAGTTTGTCTCATGGTTCCTGCCATTCTGGCCCCTGTGGCACCCTGGCTTATTTACCCTCTTGTGAGGGTAAGTGAACTGTGTGTTCTTGCAGTCTGCTTTGGCACCGGGTGCTGACATAGGTTTTGATAACATGGAGCAGACGCTGACACCAAGTTATCATATGTGGGGCTTCAGCTGTTCCTTCCTCCACCCTGAAATATTATCACCTGTCATCTCTTCTAGCACGAAGCTGAGCCCAATGGGGAAGGTATAAAATAACTTTAAAAAAATACTCTGTGCATGATAAATAAATAAATCACTATAAAGGAAAAAAAAAAAGGAAACATTATGTTTTCAAATAGTCTGACTGGAGTCAGACAACCTTAGGTTCAAGTCCTGGCTGCACACTCTATATAAGCTCTGTGATTTTACGTGACCTCTTGGAGCCTCCGTCTCTGCCTCTATAAAATGAGACTATTACTTGCTGCCTCAAAGAGTCACAGTAAGGTTCAAATGAGAATAATGCACATGAAGAGCCTAGCACAGTGCCTGACACATCCTATGCACGCAACAAATTTAACACGGGAGGAATGAAAATGAGGTTAGTCTGTTTTTGCCTGTAGTTGCAAATCACACGATAGTTCTTAAAGTTTTGATTGTGGTATATTGAAGGGCTGCTAGAAAACATGTGGAATCTAAACTCAAAAAGTACACTGTTTTTAATAACAAACTCTACCCTGTCACCCACTTTTATGTAAAAGAAGTTCACCCTCCCCCCCGTTTTTGTTTGTTTGTTTTTGGTTTTTTGGGGTTTTTTTTTGCGGTATGCAGGCCTCTCACTGTTGTGGCCTCTCCTATTGCGGAGCACAGGCTCCGGACGCGCAGCCTCAGCGGCCATGGCTCACGGGCCCAGCCGCTCCGCGGCACGTGGGATCTTCACGGACCGGGGCACAAACCCGTGTCCCCTGCATCGGCAGGCAGGCTCCCAACCACTGCGCCACCAGGGAAGCCCTCCCCCCCGTTTTTATACGAGCATTATTAGTACATGCAAGAGTTCTTTATCTCAGAGCTTTAGTGAACATCATGGTTTAAAAATATCTATATCCTTTAACAAGCCATGGAATAGAATTGGAGATTTTTTTTTCACTTTTTGGTGGTTTTTTTTTTTCCCCAAATAATAGTTTATGATTTCTTATCATAAATTTTAAAGTTAGGCAGGTTGTTTTTTAAATGCTCTGCTTATTTTTCTCCCCCAAATAATTAACTAAAGTTCATTTTTAATGTTCTGTCCCTGTTGGTGATTGTGCTGGGTCTTTGTAGGTTAGAGTTTGGGGAGCCAGTATCAAGGCTACATGTTTATTTTCAGCTGCTTCTTTCTCTGTAATTAGGGCATGCTGTCCAGAGAGGGCTGCTGCTTCACTGGCTTTGCTTGTCTTCCAAACACCCAGATTCCCTCAAAGCCCACATGGTCAAGGGACAATCAGTTCATCAACAAATAGTTCCTTATGCCTCCTCCATGCAGGCGCTGTGGGTGATGCTATAAATGTGACGGAAATTCAGTTTTTGCCCCCAAGCGGGGGCAAAACATATTAAAATAATTATAATCTTATAATCTTAATTGGACAGTTTTTTTGGAGGGACTACTAGGTTCCCAGGGAGATACTAGACTCTAGGGATATTGCAGTAAATAAGACATAGTCCTTCCCTTCAAAAAGGCTGCACTCTCCTAAGTATGACAGATACATAATGATAATGATGATGCTAATCATGGTAATGAAGTAATGGTGGCACTAAATTATTGTAATTAGTTATGTGCCTGGCTGTGTGCGAAGATCCACGCTTTATGTCATCCATCCTTCCAGCCCAATGACTGTTAGCATCCCCGTTTCACAGATGGGGAAACTGAGGCCTAGATCGATTGAGTAACTTCGATCACACAGCAAGTGGTAGGCAATGATTCAAATATGAGTTTTTGTGAATCCAGAGGCTAACTCTTAATCAGCATTTTATAATCCATCTTCAAGAAATTGGAATACACAGTTGTAAGTGCTTCAGTTAAGTGTAAGCAAGGTACAAGTGATAATAAGCATAAGAGATGGCCAAATAAAACCCCATCAGAGTTCATAAAGAGAGACTTTCTTGCTCCTGGGGTGATTAGGGAAGAAACAGGGAGTATTTAGACCTGAGGAAGCGGGATTCCAGAGCACTCCAGCTGGTCAGGAAGGCCTTTTCCTCATCTGCCTGTTGATATCCACGTAAGTTTAGACCCCGCTCACCCAGCCAGAGAGATCCCAACTCCCCTGTGCGCCCACAGCAGCATTGTGGTCCTCCAGCACCTCACAAGTCTCCCAGTTACTTGTGTACTTGTGTGGTCCCCGTGTCCACCCCTCACTCACCTCCGCCCGCTGGCACTAGACTGCAACATGTGGACAACGTTTCGAGTCTCGTATGGAAGGTTTTCTCATAATTGGGAACTCAACTGAGAACCTTGCCTCCCATCTCCAGTATCAGCCGTTGGTGTTATATTTGTCCACAGACGTCACTAGACTGTGAGCACCTCGGTTGTGTACACGAGGTTCCTAGAGCCCAGTACCAGCATATAGTGTGTGTTCTCTGAATGCTTGTTGAAGGAATCCACCTAGAAAAACCCCTGACATTTCTGCTGTAGATTCTGACTCACAAAGCACTTGCACATATGCGCTGAGAACACCAGAGCGTAGTAACGAGACCATGGAATGTCCGTACAAGACCTTGAGCCATATTCTGACTCTGCCAAGCTCTCTGACCTTGAACAGCTCACCTAACCCCACTGGACTTCAGTTTCTCTTCCACATGACGGCAGAAATAAGCCCAGTAGGATTTTTCATGGGCTATAATAAGGTAATACCAGGTGCTTAAGAAGTAGTACCTGTCATCATTTCAGTATCTAATTTGAGCCAGACTGTCCTATAAAAAGAACTCGGAATTTGTGCTTTAAAAAAATAATGTTTAAAATCTATTCACACCAGCCTTCAGAAAACTTTCTATGCTGATTTGAGATTTTTTTCTCCCCACACCTTCTGTTGACTAACCCCCCGCCCACTGCTCCATGAGTCAGAGACTCTTATTAGAGACAAAATGCCCTCTCCTGCTTTAGAATTAAAACAGGAAGATAATTCTATCTACCCAGTAACATGAGATCAAGTTACACATGTCCCTGGCATGGTTTGAACTCTGCACTGAATTCATTTTTGCCCCCATCTTTAGATGCCTGAGCCTTTTGTCTTGATCAGGTTGTGTGTGTGCTATCTGGATGGTATGTACAGGATGTGTGTGTAGTGTTATGTAGTAGGTATGTACGTGGTGTGCGTATGTGCTGTGTGTGGGCGCTCTGTGTGTTGTGAGGTGTATGTGTTGTGTGCGTATATAGCGTACGTCTTGGGGATGTGTGTGGGGTGTGTTAGCCTTGGAATGGCACTGGGAATGTGAATATATGTGGAGCCCTTCCGAAGAGGCACCATAAAAGGGTCAAGTATCCCTGAAGTCACTAGCAAATCCAACGTGCAGAACCTCGTGTTTCCGTCAAGTCCTGCACACCAGCACGGTGGTATTTTAACACGCTCCTTCTCTGTCTTCAGTCCGAGCTACATAGTCCTTGGGCAGCTTCCTGACACTGATGTGTACATTGACATAGACGCGTATGAGGAGGTAGGACCTTTTTCTATCATTTTAAATGGTTGTAAGCATGTGATGTGACTGGCCAACTAGATATTATTTTTACTTAGGACAAAGAGTGGGGTGGAGAGCAGGGAGGTGTGGTGGTCAAAGCGAAAAGCCTGAACTTCAGTGTACTGTCTGGATTCAGTTTTACAGTTTATACTACACATCAGTTACACAACCTCCTAATATTTATTTTTCCTCCTTTTTTAATGAGGATAAACATATATTCTTGGACTTAAAGTATATGTTTACAAAATACTGAGGCTGTTTGCCAGGGTGGTCTGTATGGGCGTGATTTCCTTCTGATGAATTTAAACTGGTGGTAAAATACTAGTATTAGCAGTGTAAAATGTAGGTGGTGGGGCTATGGAATTTCTCCCGCTTCATTTTTTTTCCTGCTTCATTTTTTTAATATATAAATATTTCTATTCTATTTTATTTATTTTTGGCCACATTGGGTCTTTGTTGGCAGTGCACGGGCTTCTCATTGTGGTGGCTTCTTGTCGCGGAGCACGGGCTCTAGGCGCACGGGCTTCAGTAGTTGTGGCTCACGGGTTCTAGAGCGCAGGCTCAGTAGTTGCAGCGCACGGGCTTAGTTGCTCTGCGGCATGTGGGATCTTCCCGGACCGGGACCCCAACCCATGTCCCCTGCATTGGCAGGCGGATTCTTAACCACTGCACCACCAGGGAAGCCCTCCTGCTTCTTTTTTTTTTTTTTTGTAGTACGCGGGCCTCTCACTGTTGTGGCCCCTCCCATTGCGGAGCACAGGCTCCGGACGCGCAGGCTCAGCGGCCATGCCTCACGGGCCCAGCCGCTCTGCGGCATGTGGAATCTTCCCGGACCGGGGCACGAATCCGTGTCCCCTGCATCGGCAGGCGGACTCTCCACCACTGCACCACCAGGGAAGCCCCAGGAGGCTTCTTGATAAAATTTTCACTCTGTTTCACTTGGGTCCATTTTCACTCCTGCCTACGTTCTGTGAATCAACCAGTATCAGCCTCTGTTCATTTTATTTGGCTGCTTGTCACAGTCTGAGTGGCAGCTTCGCCTTTCCTACCCACTTCTTTTTTTTTTTAAATATTTCAGTTTCTTCTTTGTACTTTATGGTAAAAATGAAACAAAGAAAGACTTTTAAAAGAAATGAAAAGGTGTGCATTTTTAAAGGCGTTCTGCTCAGCACGCATTCCTCCAGAGCATGAGTAGGTCAGCTAGAGTGACATTATTTTATTTAAACACTGTCAGAGGTCACTTAGCAACTTCTGTATTAATTTTCAAGTTAGAAGAGGGAGACAATTGCTGTTTCGATTCTGAAATATTTCCATATATTAAATTCACTAACATTTTATTTCTCAGGTGAAAGAAGTTCCTGGAATAAAAATATTCCAAATAAATGCCCCAATTTATTATGCAAATAGTGACTTATATAGCAGTGCATTAAAAAGAAAGGTGAGTCACAAGAAACTAAGGGTGATTATTTCTGAGGAGGGAATCTGAGGATTGATAGCCATGGGGGGGCCACTTAAATGTCTTGGTATACCTTTTATACTACTTGTTTTTCTCTGCCTCTATTTTTTAAATTGTGGTATAATATACATAACTTAAAATTTATCTTTTTTGTTTTATTTTTCTTTACATAACTTAAAATTTATCATTTTAACCATTTGGAACTATACAAGTCAGTGAATGGAATTAAGTACATTCGCGTTGTTGTGTAACCAACACCGCTATTCATTCTCTTTTATCATATGCATGTATTACCTTTTCAAAAATATATTTTTTTAAAGAAGCGAAAAACTAATTTTAAATTTCTTATTCTTGGGTTCCTTTGATCATGATTAGGACTCCACCCCACACTCTCCAGCAAGGAGGAAAACCTTCCAGTCAATCCACAGAGTCTCTGAGAGATCTAAGTTTGAAAAATACTACTTTAAAATTCTCTTTAATATTTAGCTTCTGGTTGTCTTGAATCAAGACCAAGAATAAGAAAAGTTACTACTGTTCTTTTAACGAGGGATAACCCAGTTCAGGGCATCTGAGGGAAAGGTAGAGCAAGGGTTACGGTGATAATTTGGCATAGAAAACAGTCAGATGGAGAGATTTGAAGATTAATTGCTTTGGGTGGGTTCCTGGGAGCCAAGAAGTTATTTTTGCATATATTGCCCTTCTGTAAAGACTGGAGTGAACCCAGCCTTCATAATGGGAGCAAGAAGAAAGGCCATGAAGAAGTATGCTAAGGAAGTTGGAAATGCCAACATGGCCAATGCAACCGTCGTCAAAGTGGTGAGTGATCCCTTCATTGTAACTTTCCCTTGTCTCTTGATCTGCAGTGCCCCCCACCTTTATTCATGATTGAAGTTTTTTGTTTGTTTGTTTGTTTGTTTGTTTTTTGCGGTATGCGGGCCTCTCGCTGTTGTGGCCTCTCCCGTTGCGGAGCACAGGCTCCAGACGCGCAGGCCCAGCGGCCATGGCTCACGGGCCCAGCCGCTCCGCGGCATGTGGGATCTTCCCGGACTGGGGCACGAACCTGTGTCCCCTGCATGGGCAGGCGGACTCCCAACCACTGCGCCACCAGGGAAGCCCCATGACTGAAGTTTTAACACAGCATCAAGTCCCTAAAGTAGGAAAGCTTAGAAACAAGCTAAGTATCCTTTGTATATTAAAGATACATGGTAAGGTCAGTTTTGAGAATGCTTCTGAAATAAGTAGTGATAGGAGCCCAGGAAAACATGGTTTTAAAAAATAGAAATCACACAGTACCTTAATAAATGTTACCATTATTACTTTGTCAGAGATTCATTCAGCTGATAGTAAAAAAACCTCAAAGACTGGTTTTTGTCTGTGGTCTGTCATGTTGAAGTTAATGGGACTATTTTAGAAGTTAGGGGAAAATGTATATGATGACTAAAGAGAGTGGATTTCATTGGACAAAAGAAAAAGAGGAAGAGGAGGAAGAAAAAAAGAAACAGCTAAAACTGAATATTGTGTATATATCCTTTTTTGTCATATTACAGGGCTAGGATATAGCAAATATTTTGGAAATGGTCTGGTATAGTCAGAAACTTGAGCATGTGAGGACTAATTTTTCCCTCATAAATCTTTCTCAGAACCGAAATATGAGTTGTTCATAGCGCTCTGGTTTGGTTTGATTTTTAACATAGGATGCAGAAGTAGATGGAGAAGATGGCACCAAGCCTGAGGAAGAGGAGAATGAAATAAAATATCCCCCAATAGTCACCAAGAGCACACTTCCTGAGGAACTGCAAAGATTTATGCCCCCAGGGGATAACGTCCACACCATCATTCTGGATTTTACGCAAGTCAATTTTATTGATTCCGTTGGTGTAAAAACTCTGGCAGGGGTAAGCATCATCTTTAACAAGTCTTTTAGTATCTCTGTGCCCAGTATCACCATCAGTAAAATCAGAGAATTGAACTAGGGTCCTTTTTCAACTCTCAAAATTTTGTTGTTGTTTTTGTTTTTCAACTTTTGATTGTGGAATATATCGAAAATATACAAAATAAAGAGCAGAGTGTAATGAACCCCCGTGTAACTATCACTCAGATTCAACTATTATCAGTTCATGGTCAATTTTGTGTCATTTATCCCCACACCCATTTTCCCCTTCTCTTATTTTGAAGCACATCCCACTCATCATATAATCTGTAAATATTACAGTATATACCTCTTCGAGAAGATTCTTTTAAAAACCATTACCATAATACCTTTATTACACTTGAATAAAATTTGACAAGAATTCTTTGATGTTCCAAATTATCACTGTTGATATAAAAATCAAACAAAATACAGGTTTTTAAATGATTAGTTCAAAATGCATAATTATTGAAGTGGAGTAGCTCAAGTGAATGAACCAGAGCATCTTATATCACTAAATACGTATTGGTAGAAAGAAACTTGCACCTCACAGAGTCAAGAGAAACTAAACTTTATTTCAACATTATTACAGATTGTAAAAGAATATGGAGATGTCGGCATTTACGTGTATTTAGCAGGATGCAGTGGTGAGTGCACTTTGAGAATGGGAGAAGTTTTAACATTTTGGTTCTGTTTTTTTAAATAACTGCATTTGGAAGTATTTTCCCTTAATTTTAGTTTTAGGTGAAAATGAAAATTATTCTGAAAATCTAAAGCTAGCTTTGAAATTTGCCACTTACAGCACTCACATCCCTGGGTCACTTGGTGGTAGGCCTCCTGCACGGGAGTTGGAGGAAAGGAGCTAATAAACCATTGTTCAGGGCTGGTATATTTTTTTAGTAATTATTTATGTAATGGCTGCCATAAACATAGTTATATAAAATCATTTAGGTTTTTCCAGACAATGCCTGCTCTTTTTGTTTTAATATAAATTTTGGCTAAAACAGTGCTTGAAAATGAAATTCACATAAAGGCATCACTTTCCACCTACCGAAATAGCAAAAATTGAAAATGTTTGACAGCAGGCTCTGTAGGCTCACTGTGGGACAACAGGAACCCTCAGACATTGCTGGTGGGAGTGCAAACTGGAGCAGCCTCTGTGGAGGGCAGACAGGCATTTTCTTTCAAAATTACAAATGCATTTACCTTTAACCCAGCAAATCCAACAGTATGCTACACACATTCAAAATAACACATGTACGTGGTTAATGATCATAGTACTGTCTCTAAGAACAAAACACTAAAAAATATTTAATTGTCAAAAGGGACCAGTTAAATAAACCAGGGTACATTTACACCAAAGAATAATACCATGTATGGTAAAAAATAATTTTTATTATATCATTTTAATATTTAAACTATATGAAAGTGTTACTTTTTTAATGTTTAAGACTGACACCCAGAGTGTGGGCTAATTTTCTGTTTTTTATTTATTTTATTTATTCTTGGCTGCATCAGGTCTTAGTTGCAGGATCTTTCATTGCAGCGCAACAGGCTTCTCTCTAGTTGTGGCGTGCAGGCTCCAGGGCACGTGGGCTCCGTAGTTTGTGGCACCCGGGCTCTCTAGCTGAGGCGCGCCAGCTCAGTAGTTCTGGTGGGTGGGCTTAGTTGCCCCACGGCATGTGGGATCTTAGTTCCCCGACCAGGGATTGAACCACGTCCCCTGTATTGGAAGGTGGAGTCTTTACCACTGGACCACCAGGGAAGTCCCTGGGCTAATTTTCCCTTCTTCTTTTATAGCACAAGTCGTGAGTGACCTCACTCGAAATCAGTTCTTTGAAAATCCTGCCTTACTGGATCTGCTGTTCCACAGCATTCACGATGCAGTCTTAGGCAGCCAAGTTCGAGAGGCACTTGCCGAACAGGAGGCCACGGCTGCTCCTCCCCAGGAGGACTCTGAGCCCAACGCCACTCCGGAAGCTTAGACGAGGAGCTCAGCCTGCGATGGGGTATGAGCTTCTCGTGAAATTACTAACCTACACACTTTAAATAGTAGACACTAAATGTTTTTTTCCTAAGGGTAAATACTACTAGTAGGTAAATACTAGTAAATACAAGGCTTGATTTGGAGGGTGAATGACGCATAGCAAGATGTATCTTACTTGTATATTTTTAATTGACTATTTCAAAGATATTATTAGCCTCTTGCCTGCATTTATTGTGTAGTGACATTTCTGTTACTCTTTAGTATTATCTTTGTGAACTTAAAGAATTTATTTAAGTACTTTATCCACAAATCAGATACCCTGTCACCAGATGGGTAGTAGTTCTTTGCTTTTGTACTTGTTGATCTACAGACTTTCTGGAATCAGTTATCTCACAGAGGAGGCAAACCCACAATTTTCTAGAAGTTCTTCTTTTAAAATAACCATTTATTGTTACAGAAGCAATGTAGGTACATTGCAGAAAATTAGAAAATATAGACAAGCAAAAATAAGAAAAACATTACATTACCAGCAAAGATTATTGCTAACACCTTAATGCATGTCCTTCCAGATCTTTTTCTATCCATATATATTTACATCTTTTAACCAAAATAAGATCATACTCTACATAGTGTTCTGTGACCTGTTCTTTTCAGTCATCCATCTTTGCTTTCTCATTCTAGAACATGTTTACCTCAGACCATATTCAAACTTCCCCAATTGTCTCCACAGTTGTAGTTGGTTTATCCAAACTAGTATTCATTCTGTGACCTTACACTACAAATGGTCATGTCCCCCTAAGTCCCATAACTGTGTCTTAATCTAGCACTGTCCCTTTTTTGATGACATTGACTTGTTAAAGGGAGTTGGGGCAGTTGTCCTGTAGAATCCCATCTTGTGAGTGTGTCCACTCGCTTTTTCAAGGTGTTATTTAGTTTGTCCCTTTATTTCCTGAACTACCTATGATCTAGAAGTTATGTCTAACTAAAGGCTTCATGAATTCGAATAAAACATTTCTTGCTAGATGAGATACGTGCATAGATGAGGCACGTGCTTCAAATCGCATCACAACAGAAAACAAGTAATATCTAGTTGACCTACCATTAATGATGCTAAAATAAATCACTTGGATTAATATGACAACCAATCCCCCAATTATATTTTCTCCTTTGTGACTAGTGAGTTATCTGTATGGTGTTCCTTTGGCGTTGAATGAATGCCCAGTTCTCCATTAGCCGTTCACCCAGAGGTTTTAACGTCTAGTGTTAATCCTTGCCTAAAGCAGCAATTTTATTAAGGTGTGTGCATTTTCTTTTCCAATTCTTTCATTTCTTCTGCATTTATCAATTGGTGTTTCCGTGTAAACTACAGCTTTCCCTCAACTTGAATTATTTAGTCATCCTTAAATATAGTTCTTACTGGAAGGGCAGGTTAAATTATTTTTTTTCCATTTAGTTATCAACTTCAAAGTAAGGAGTTGGTTTAATAGATGGTGACGAATTAGGTTCTTTTTCCTTTTTCGTATAATTATACACTCATGAATTGTTGTAGTTTTAATGTGTTTCAGTGCATTAT